ATATATACTATATATATACTATATATATACTATATATATACTATATATATACTATATATATACTATATATATACTATATATATACTATATATATACTATATATATACTATATATATACTATATATATATATACTATATATATATATACTATATATATATATACTTATATATATACTGTATATATATACTGTATATATTTCGGAATATATATACTATATATTTTTCGGAATTTGTTTTTTACTTTATTTTTTTAAATTGTCGGCTGGTCATGGTTTTTTTCATAAGCTTGGTTTGCCTTTTTTTCCCATATAGCTGTGACTCCCACGACCATGTCGAGATGGTGTTCAGATTATTTTATACCAGGACTATGAATTGCAACATAAGATTCTAAAAGGAAATCTATGTCATGTCTATTTTTAGATTACATATTACAGTTGATTGGTATACTCAGGTCACGTGGTGCTTCAGGTGGTCAGCAGATTTCTTCATTACTTAATGGCGGCGAAGTCACTGCGCAAAGTGAGTGACAAGATGTCTTATATACACTAGCGGTATAGACACGTAAAAACACGCAATTTGTTACAGGTCTGCAAACAAGTTGTTACAGATTTGTTCACAAGCTGTCGACAGGTTGTGTTTGCAATGCTTGTTCCCAGTTGTTGTAACAAGTTTGGGTTCAGCTCTTAACAACTTGTAACAAGCTTGATGGCATTATGAGACTTGTTACAAGTTGTTCTACCAAGTCTGATACAGTCATGATATAACAAGAATGCTAAACATTTTATATCATGATCATCTATTGTCTTAATTGCATTAGACGCGACCAAAATTCGACATACAAAACAGGCTAAGAGATGACCCTTACTGGACCTCTAGGGAGAACAGTTTAGAACTGATAAAGCTATCCAATATACTGTAAATAAAGTTAGTTTAGTTTAGGTTTACTCCTGTAGAAGCACTGGATCTATAAGAGATGATCTTACTGGACCTCTAGGAAAAACAGCTTAGAACTGATAAAGCTATCCAGTATAAATAAAGTTATTCTAATTTTTTTGACAATCTTACTCCTTCACAGGCAAGCCTTTCAAAGAGGAGTTGTTAATACCACTGCGTTCATCACGGATGTCAATGGAACAAGAGGAACCTGCCGCAGTACAGCTTGACTCGATTGAAAAAATACAAGACATCGTTGTCCAGGTTTGTTTACCCGCGTTGTCAACTTGAAAAAGGAAAAGAGACGATCAAGCTCATGCATGTATGATTGAACTTTGATCAATCTCAATTTGTTTATACTTAGATATTTCCGTTTGGTGAATACGAGAAAACCTTCTCTCCAAAAGACCAGTCACATTCAGCTTTCTTACTTCAAAAGGTAACTCACACTCTTGTGAAATTGAAAAGAACTACAGTAAGTACTATTTAGAACACGAGCATGAGTGTTTTATCTGTTATAAAACACGAGGCGACAGACAAGTGTCTTGTATCTGAGAAAGCACTCCTACTCGTGTTTTACAGTAAATTGCTTAAAAAATGACCAATCTTATGAGAGTTCATTGGCGAAGTAATTCTAAAAATCAACGTTGTGTAAGCAGAGAAAATCCAAGCTAAATTTTAAAGGCCATGTAAAGTCCGTAATGTAAACAAACAGAAATTTTTGTATAAAGAGAAATTGGTGGGGTATTCTGCTTTTAACTCCCGATATTTTAAAGTTTGTTTGTCTTGTATTGTGTAAAGGGTCGCTG